ACGCCTGACAATGACCAAAGAGGAGATGTCATATAAATCTCCCAGGTTACCTCTACTCAATCTGTATTATTCATCAAAGTTCTTTAAGTTGGAGTTGTGAGTTTTTTGGAAGAAGCAGTTAGAGACTAAATGTATGGGGAATGGAACTACTTAGAGCTTGACGCCAGTGTGAGGGTAGGACGGCCCAAGAAAGCTTAGTTATCTCTGAGTCATGTGTGTGTGCTGCTGGCCTGCAGCACCCCAAGTCCCCTGAGAGCCCTTTCTATTTGAAGGTAGGCAATGCCTCGACAAATCTATAAGTTAGGTTAGCCCCTCACTAGGCTTCCCCTCCTCCAGGCTCTCTCCTTTCTTAAGAATGTAATTAACCAGAATGACCAGTATCATTAAAAAATGCCCAGCGCTGGATATTTAATGCCAGCTTCGTGTCTCTATCTTTAATCTGTTTTTGTAAAGGGTCTTATCAAACTCTCTGTGGAAGTCCTGAAAACTTCCAGGGGATTTTAGGGACATGCCCACATGTCAAGCCTGAAAAGCTATTCTCCAAAATGTCACATGGTAGCCTAGCCATGTGCCCTGGGCCTGAGGTCCATAGAAGTAACTCCCTTAGCTTCTAATGGACAAAGAAAACCCCAGAGCTAGCCATTCTCTGGGACATTATGAAAAACACCAATCACTAGACTCAGGGAAACAAAGAGACAATTCTCTTTTTGTTTTTATAATTTTGGGAGGAGAAGAGGTCAAAGGAGCCATAAATTTAAAAACACAAAAAATGACATTAGCAGCCGCCAGTGCCAAAAATAAAGTATTTTCAACATTCCAATATTTAAAACCCCAATCATCCCTTTAAACTTGCTACTACATACCACACGAGAAGGAGAAGCAACTAAAGGCGTGTCTATGTGCCTCTGGGAAATTTTCATAAATAAAAGCAGATGATGGTGACCTAAACTTTCTTCCCACTAAGGGAGGCTGCAATGTGACCTAGCTGTTCATCAGGAATTAAAATATTTGGACTAAAATGCATTTAGATTTTTGGAATTTGCTTCTCCCTTATTTCTTCTGTGTATGTCAGAGAACATAACAGGAGGAAATAAAAACATTTTTGCTAGTCACCCCCCTCCCCCCAAATAACAATGTTTGAAGAACAGCAGTAATGAAACAAAATACAAAGTGGAAAACACCGGTTTAAGTTTGCATTTTGATCACATTGTAAGAATCTCTCCTTTCTTGATTTCTCCTGAAAAAATTAATCATTGAATTACTGAGGAGCCACAGAGAAATACAAAACTTTAAGATGAAAATGAAATGAGGTTTAGTTTTAATATGAGATTAGAAGAACGTTATACATAGTAATATATATAAATTTTCCTGACAATCTACTCTAGGATTTAATATTACCATTGAGGAGGGGTCTCTTTGCTGCAGTTTAAACTCAATTCTGGCCTCTGTGATGTAAAGACTAACAGAGAAATCATTATTCTTGGCATAAAATCTTTTAAAATCGTTTATGGAAATTAAGTGGTTCTCAAAAATGTCTCCATGTTTGTCTTAAAAATTATTGGGTACTTTGCAAAGTGTTTTTTATATTTACTTGTATTTTATTATATTTACTTGTACTTAGTGTTTTAGAAAATGAAACTGAAAAACTTTTAAATGTATGAATTTATTTTAAACCATAAACTCATGACATTTTACATAATGAACATATTTTATGAAAAAATAATATCTCCCTAAACAAGAGAAATTTAGTGAGAAAAGTGGCATTGTTTCACATTTTTACAAATCTCTGGAATAACTGCTAGCTTAATAAAAAAGAGCTGAGCCCCGGCCAGTTTGGCTCAGCAATTAGAGTGTCAGCCCTCCGACCAAAGGGCCTCGGGTTTGATTCCCAGTCAGGGGCACATACCTGGGTTGCGGATTTGATCTTGGCCCAGTCGGGCAACCAATGAGGGTTAACAAATAAAAAATAAAAAGAAAAGAAAACTGAGTGTTCAGATTTGCTTCTGGATGTCACATGTCACGGAGCCTCCCAAAACTCCCCTATGAGTTGTGAGGACAATGAGTGTGAAAAAGACAAATAACATCTGAGTATTACTAGGAAAATAATTTTGATCTCACGGATTCCCTTCAAAATATTGTGGCGAACCTGCAGGGATTCCTGACTAACTAGACTTTAAGAACCATTGATCTAAATAAATAAATTTATTTAAGTTTTTAAAATTTCTTTAAATTTGTTTGTTTATTAAACCTAAATAATCTAAACATTAAATTTAGTTAATATTTTAGCAGAAATATCCTTTATATAACACTTTAACAGTGTCCCTATTTCTCCTTGGAACCCACTTTGTGTTGCTCATATCTAAATATGAAAAATCTAAAGTTTTGCTGGCCATTTGTACTTATGGAATTTCTCTGAGGGTCTGAATGGAACACAAGATAAGTAAGTTCCAGAGGCCTGCTGTACAACAGAATGCCTGCAGTTAACAAAACTGTACTTACTGCTCGCTTACAAATGTACCAAGAAGGAAGATCTTCTGTGAAGTATTCTTATAACTAACCAACCAAACAAATAGCCAACCACCAACTTTATTCAATTAGCATTGTCTGGAAAAAGGGTATGAAGAAAACGTCTTCTTATGATTATGGTAACTGCTCTCCTTCACCCCTGGAGTTTCCATCACAAGGATTTTCCTAAGCTTCCCGAAGTCTCACCCCCTGCAGAGGTGGCAGAGAAAAGGCCAGGTGGCCTCCCCCCTTTCTTTTTGGAGCCATCTGCATGCAGAAGAGCCTGTCCTCTAGTCTTGCTCCCGACGCTGCAGACTGTGCTATGAGTAAGCGTAACAGCAAGCTGGCCGGTCCTCGGGTGCAGGGCCACTCTGCATATTGGCAATGAACACTGGCGTCCCCTACGGTCTGTCAGCATTTAATGCACATGTTCCAACTCTGCTGGCTCACAACTTAGACAGAGAAATGGGATATTATTTATTGGGCCCATTAAGTTCCCACATCTATGGTTGAGAGAAGAAACTAATAGGTAGTCAATTCTAGAATCTTCCATGTGGTGGCTGTGTGACTCCCTAATCCTCCGTTAGCTTCCAAGCCATGTGGGGACCAAGACCGGCAAGAAGGCTGTTATTCAGGGAAGTAGCCTCAGTTTGAGAGAGTAAAAGACTTTCTTTGCAACTGTTCTGTTCTATACAGGCAGAGAAATCAGCAGGCTCCGTTACTTTAAAACTTTTTATTTTATTATACACCACTGACCGACATATAAAAAAGTACTGCCTCTATAGCATATTTTTGGATCTATTTAATTATGATGTGAACTTGAAACGATTTCTATTTCCTTTATAATTCGAAGATTTAGGTATTTTAAATAAGTAACATTAGTTTATGGAACTGAAATCAACCTAAGAAGCAAAACCAGAAATGGTTTATCAGAAAAACACGAAGACTAAAAATCATTTAACATGGAAACCCACGAAAATGGTATCATCCCCTAGTTTCCGAGCCTGTTTTTTATTCATGTTATTTAAGTGTTTGTTTGCTACACAAAGCCTTTCTTTTTCACCTCATGTTCCCCGAGCATTTGAACCCGAGGTGAATTAATAATTTTGTGATTATGACATCAACCCGTCACCATGGAAATGTCTGTGATTTAACAAACAGAATCATAACAATAGTGCTTTATGCTATTTAGCATTTTTCATCTGAAGATTAAAAAGTATTTTGAAAACAGTATCTCAATAATCCTAGCAACCTCCCTGTTAGGGTGTTTGTGGGAATTTTTCTTTCTCATGAATTGGAAGAGCTGAGACAGAAACAGAAGCAGAATGTTTTACACAGATATATTCTGTCAGCATCTGAGCCTGGACCAGGGCCCACTAAGGACAAGCAGTACACGACTGCTATTTTATTCTAGAATCACAGGGGTGCAATCTCTATGTTATAAATATAGGAAGACACTTTCTATACTCAATGTAAGTTCAACTGCAAATGTCATTCCATTCCAAGCTTCAGCGTGTCTTTATTTGAGCACTTTATAGAAAGTGTCCTTGAGAATCTAGTGAGAGCCATTACCTTTAGGGAAAGTGAACCGAAATCTGTGAAGCTATTTTCAACGTGAACTGAGTCCTCTTGGACGATGTTCTGCAGGAAACAATCCTAAACTAACACGGAGAATGTTCAGCTGGATTAGCACGGGCGAACTTTCCCTGCCTTGATTTTCACGGTCCTGTAATCCACACCAGATGTCAAGTCCTGAAGCTCCGAGTTCAGAATTTCAAATGAGTGCCTCTAGTGTGATCGTAAACACATCTGATGGGGCTGCTAAGTCCCACACCAAAACAAATGTTTAACAAGTCATTTTTTTAAAAAAAAGAGGAAACAAAACTAAGTCCAGACGTGAACAGACTTAAGAAATGTACCTTTGAACCATTTGACGTGAGGTGGAGGAACACCGGAGGTCTTACATTCCATCACTGTTGTGTCCCCAAGGGCAACCAAGAGCTCACTCTGAACGACCATCAACTTGGGGGCTTCTGAAGACAACGAACACATACAGAGTTAACGTCTAGCACAAAGCCCCGCGCACCTTGTCTATGTTTACTAAAAGAACCCAGAAAAAAGTTTACCATTATTTATGTGCTTGTGGCTCTTTTAGTGTTTATGAACAGAAAGAAACTCTGAGAAGCACGGCACATAGATGAGTGTGCTGAAAAGATCATTTATTAAGGCCAAAAAAGGGTATCAGGAAAAATAATTCTGATAAAACAGAGTCCAAGAAATTTAGAAAATTAATGGAATAACCTTTATGGGGGAAAAAAAAGTATATAAGGAAAGAAAAATTTTGGAAAGCTGAACACATCTTATAGAAACAATACGAAAGGAGCAGAAAGAGGGATAATAGTAATAAAAATATAGCAAAAGAAAGATGATGTAGCCAAGCTACAGTAGGACTTGAGGATAATACAACTGCAAAGGAATGTGCTAGAATATTTTCTATGTGGATTTAAGGATAGTCATGTTTAACTGCAGAGAGACAGCTGTAGGCTAAGGCTAAAATTTGCATCTATAAAGAGTAGTCTCTCAGTTTTGACTCTGTTGTTCCCCTTGGTGAGAACTGTAGACATTCTCCAAGCTCCTTTCCTTAGCTCTGTCTGGTTCATCCCTTTGCCTAATGCTTCAGTTCACTCACACACTTTTCCCTTAACTGGACATTTTAGGACTTTCTAACTTCCACTGAGGTCAATTTAAACAAAGCCAAGAGATAGCCTCTCAGAGGTCATGTTTCTCTTCTACTAGAAAACCTTCAGGTTTTCACAAATCCCCGGTTTGGCTTTCAAATATCATAACCAGTCATGGAGCCTTGCAGTCCCTTTCTTATCATGAGGCATGAGCCTCAGTGGTGTCCAAAGCACGCTCCAGTCTCATCCTGCTTTTGCTAAAACTGTTTCCTGGGCCTGAAACGCCCTTTGCCCCAACTCTTTAAATCCCACTCCTTCTTCTAGACTGAGCTGAAATGCTGTCTTTTGAGAAATCTTTGCAAATTCCCCATAGAAATTAATCTTCCCTCTGGCCTAACTTCCATTGTAGTACTTATCTGTCTGTCTTACTATAGTTCTGTAAGTATACCCACTCCCATTATGCAAGCTCTTGAAAGGTAAGGGCTCTGGGTAACATACATTTAAAAATTTTACACTCCACATTTTACATATTCCGGGTGATAAGTAAGTTAAATAAATGGGTCCAAGAGTCCGGCTTCTTTGAAAATGAACCAAAATTCATTTCTGCAATGCAGAATCTGTTTCTACCTCCTTTGTACATTTTGGGTGTTCTGTGAACATTTTTAATGATCTACATCTGAGACCTCTTCCCTTCTCAACTTATTTGCCGAGCACCTTGGCCATTTCTATAAGCAAGACCACTTCTTTCCCAGCTTTCAGGCGCAATATTTATGATACTTTTGTTACCTTCCTCGTCTATACACACCAATTATAACGCTCGGTCTTTACTATGGATCTTTACACCCCTTCCTCCCCGCTGCCTGTTTCACTACCGTATTATGAATGGCAAATAAGAATGAACGAAAGGGGAGATTGCTAGCCCTTAATTATTCAGTTTTACAAACTAACACTGAACATGTATGCCATTGTCCTTTGTTTGTTTAAGGAAGACCAAATTAAAGAAAATGCTCTAGCCCGGCCAGGCGTGGCTCAGCGGTTGAGCATCGACCTAGGATCCAGGAGATCTCGGTNACTCTAGCCCGGCCAGGCGTGGCTCAGCAGTTAAGCATCGACCTAGGATCCAGGAGATCTCGGTTTGATTCCCAGTCAGGGCACATGCGCGGGTTGCGGGCTTGATCCCCAGGAGAGGGCATGCAGGAGGCAGCCGATCAATGACTCTCTCATTGTTGATGTTTCCATCTCTCTCTCCCTCTCCCTTCCTCTCTCTGAAATCAATAAAGACATATTTTTTAAAAAATTCTATTCTATATTATATATTATTGGAATGTGCAACCTTATATATTAGACTATTAGATTACATTGTATATTAGAATATATTTTATTCAATTTCATTATGGAGTATTATATTATAGAATAATTGTCATAAAGTGCATCTTCAATAAATGTTTGAGTTTGGAGAGGAAGGCTGAAGATGAAAAGTGAAAATAATATCCAGACAAGATAAATGACAGAAATATTATAAACATTTAATTAGGACAGAAATGTTAGAAACAGTTTTTAATGTAAGTGGAAAATAGCAAATAGAAGTTGAGGTGAACTAGAAAATATAGTGGACTTATTAATTAGCAAGTGAAATATTGCAGAGAACAGGTAACCTTAGAAGGACAGAACTCTGTGGGCAACCTGGAACTCTTCCACATGCTGGAAGCTTCCTTGATTTCTGCTAAGGAAGGTATCACTCCCTGACTTTTAACTTCAATTAGTCACAATATTTGCTTTCATCAATGTGTGGAAATGAATAATAAATTATAAGACTGTGTATAACTCATTCATAATATTAATTTTCAGCGAAGTATTTTTACATGACACGCATCCTATTTTAATTGCCTCTTAAATTGATTATACTTGCCGATGTATCTGAGGGTAGAAGTCTGTTTATCCATTCCCGCTGAATTACTTGCCAGGCAACCATAGATCCCTGCATCTTTGGGAACTGCATTTTTGATAAATAAGGTACCTTCTGAGGTCATCCTATACCTATAGACAAAAGAAAAGAAAATCTAAAATACCCTAATAATAGTATCAAGGAATCTTTCTTCCAAATATCTTCAAATACTTTAGAGTTATATTTTTGATGTTGACTGCAGAAATGATTAAATATCATCATTTTACAAGCAGAAATGTAATAATAATAATGATAATAATAGATTCTATGTATCCAGTACTTCTATGAACCAGGGATTGCTCTAAGAGCTGTATATGTATTAATGTTTTAAATCTTCAAATGACCCAATGAGTTAGATACTACTATTATCTCTGTTTTACAGATGGGCAAAGAGGTTCTATAACTCACTCAAAGTTGGATTTAGTAGACGGAGGAAGTGGAATTTACACCCAGAAATCGTGTTCTGTGAGAACTGCTATACTAAACAGTTCCTCAAAATGAAAGCACGGGAGATGCAAGGCCTCATGTCACACAGTGAGTCACTGATGAGTCTAGGAATAGAATCTGGCTCACACCTGAGCCCTGCTCCGCATGCCAAACCCAGAGTAACGGAAGCCCAATAGCTGGAAGCTTCCCTGTTTATGTTCCACATGTTCATTACGCTCTTGGAGCATGAGAGGATTCAGTGTCTTTCAAAAGCATCCAGTAGGAAAAAAAAAAAACATTTCAATGGAGTATGGCAAAAGTGAGCAGGGATTATGAAGGATGTCTGCACACACTCCAGTTAGAGCTACTGTTCTGTCCTTGGCCTCCACTCTCTCCTGTTAAATCTCAGGACCACACCTTAAGTTCATTACCCTCATTTCAAATATTCAAGGCAAACCAAGTGTCACGGTGTTATTTTGAACACAGAGTATTGGAAAGAACTTGATCCCAGCTTTCGAAGTCAAGAACTCAGAACCTCAAATTCTATACATCCATCCTTGATTATTTTATGGGCATCTCCTGGCCTATTTAGAAAAATCTAAAGCTGTGAATTTTGGTCAGTCTTCCCTTAACCTTAAGGATTTGGTCAGATTAGTTTTGCCCAGAGAAATTTCATTCACCCTTCTCACTCAGTAAAAACAAAGAACATGATACAAACCCAGTACCTGTGTGACCCCACGATAAACATATCATTAACAGTCCAGGCGATCTTTGGTTTGGGATAACCTGTTGCAGAGCACATGATGGAGACCTCAGATCCTCCTGTGAAAGATTGGTTCTTGGGCATCACAGTGACTCTGGGAGATTCTGCAAATAAAAAGAAACTTATAGAGTGAAATGCCAACTTCCCTTGATTTTAGGAGCTCCCTCTGTTAGCAGACTGGAAGCTTCTCACCAGCACACCTCCTCCGCTTTTTTTTTTTTTTTTTT